AATTATTATATATATATATATATATACTATAATATACTATAATATTATAGCAATAACTATAAAAATAAAACTTCTAATCGTAATTGTTTTACATGCAATATATATTATAATCATAAATACAAAAGCACTTATTTCTCAGTGTGCATTTTTGCACTACATTCTCTTTTTCTCTCTCCCTCTGTTCTTCCTATTTAATTTTCGATTCTAATAATGCAATCAGATTGAAAAAAAAAACACTTCTGTTGAGAAATCTCAACTCACCTTTCATCTGCGATTTCGATATAGGCGTCTTGCTGGACGAAGAATGGCTCGCCGAGGATCGTTTCGGTGAAGCTGGCAGGGACAGGAGAACGTTCGTAGAGAGCGGGGTTCTGACAGGCTCATCGAGGATGGACGACGAGGACGCGGCCGTGTCCGTCGGCCGCGCCAGGGATGATTCTTGCGGTTCCTGCTGCAGTTGCCATAGTCGCCGGCGTTGCAGATTCGTTGGGACGTCGGCGGCGGAGCACGATCCCGCGGAAACGTAGATCGGCTGCATCGGTAACGCAGACGTTGTCACAGCCATCGTCATCGACGCCCGTGGGGTGCAGTCCAAAGGGCTGGTGCTCTCATGTCCCTCCGCGCCGTTTCCTACCGCGCCGCTGCTCTGTCTTGTCTGCAAGTAATCGCGGCCTGAAATGCATCTCTCCCGCTCATCCCGACAAGTTCGAACCGGTCAATATGAATTATTTAGACATTTGTTTATTATACAGCTTCTTTTCAAACAAAACAATGAAACGAGTTTAAGATTGAATCGTTGCACGCGAAGTGTTGTATCCTAAAAACATTTTTAGTATGAAGAGAATATTCTCATAAATATATTCCTCAACATAACCGAGTTCTATATATGTTAAAATAATAACTCAGTAACGTATACATTTACTGTAATCTGCTGTAATCAATTTATATATTATACATATATATTTACTATACATTAACTGATAAATGTATACATTTACTAAAGTTAACACTTTTACTGTGACATGACCTACACTGAGAAAAAAAATTTTGGTATTTGTGATTATAATTACGTTTTTGAAATTTATGACTTTAAGTACATATTTGCATATTACCATAACTATAATTATTAAGTTGTAATTTTAGTAATATAAAGTGTATATATAATTGTTATTAATAACATTTAAAAAAGTGATAATAGTAATAATTATGGTAACATAATTATCTGTAATTATAAATACCATAAACATATATTTTTCTTTTAGAGTGTGAGTCTCTCAGAAGTAGATTGATCAACTCTATAAAATAAGAATTAGAAAGAATATTAAAAGTTATGTACTGATCATATGTAGTATTAAAAATACTAATAAACTCTAGTACTAAAAATAAGAAGCTTACGAGAGTGGAGTTGATCAGTTTAGTTTCTGAGAGGTCCAGGTATCAGAGAGTTAAAGGGACAGGAGAGATTTTTCTTTCTGCAAAATTCTTGACTTTTTACCAAATGCGCATGATTTTTCTAGTAACTCTTCTAAGTCTTTGTTTTTTCAGCAAACATCTCTGCGTACGATACATTATTTTATACCAACATTTGACAAGCTTGATATAAAACTTTGCGTGGCTCCAGGGCTTTAAAAAGAACATTGCGAAGATGTTTTCAGAGAGACATTTAAAAGGCTCGTTTTTTTACATCGTTTGTTTTGCGCTTCTCTTCTTTATAAGATTTTGTTTTAGTCGACTGCTATAACTGTTAACTTATAAATGTGTCGTTGAGCGACACTAGCGACAGGCGAATTGTCCAAAGTAAAAGTACCTTAATATTTGATCTACTGTCAGACGCCGTTAGGTACGAAATGTAAAACTTCTAAGGCAGTGACACACATCCGACAGTATCTAGCCGAGTTCATTCCGTCATTTCAGTGTCGAGCCTTATCAATTATTAAAATTTACTCGCACATAAAGTGTCAGCGTATGGGAAAGACGCGATTTTAATTTCAAGAACGTGCTAATGCTGTTTGCTGAAATGTTTTAGCATTTATATATTTCGATAAAGCAAAAAAAATAAAGAGAGAAAAGGGAAGAAAATAGAGATTTGTTAATCCTACCTCATTTAAGTGATTTTTTTTTTTAACGTAATTACTCGTATTGTTTCTGACACTTCATCAACGTTATATCTCAATTTTCGTTATTCTCTTCGACGATTCATGAATAAAGATTAATGTTCTTTAAATAAAAATAAATACAAACAATTTTTTAATTGTGAAACAATTTGTGCCGAATTTAATAATATATACATGGAAAAAATAATTTCGCTAAAATATTTAAAAATTTATAGATAGTTACAGATTTGAACATATTGTTTGGGGCATAAAAATAATTTTGTATGACGCTGAAACTAGTTGATAGTACGTTAAAACTTTTTGCGACATTCTTATCAACGCTTAAATGGTCTACATCATTATTTTGATGGTCCAACAAAATCATTTTCTTAATTAAATTTGTTAATACTTCAGCAAAAAAAATTGCTATTACTTGTATAAATAGCTTAATATATTTAGTGAATTTATAAGGTTTCTCTAAGAAAAAAATTTTTAGCATTTATGACCATTAATGGTTGCGCATAATTATAATTATTACGTTATAATGTATATAATGTACATAATGTGTATAGTATATCTATAATATTAATAATTAGATGTATATAAATCTAATTATTTCCACAAAAAATATATATACTATAATTATAGTTATTATTGATATAAAAATAGGTTATAATAATTTAATTATAATTTACAGTTATTTTTTGGGACAATTCATAATATGGTCAACTATAAATTATAATGTAATTGCATTATAGCAATTGCAACTTTTATGATAAAATAATTATAAAAAAACGATAATTATTTTTGATTGCTAACTATATATATTTGTTAATAGAATTATACACATATATACTTATTATCTATTATTAAAATTATACTTATAACCATAATTATACTATTGTAACATGAAATTGTCAGATTATAACCACAGTCAGATTATAATCAATTATAGTCATAAATACCAAAAACTTTTCTTTCAGTGGCAGAGTGTCCTGGACACTCCATGCAAGTAATGAAGGGTTAATGAGACAAGCTTGTCGTGCGGCTCGTCTCCTCGACATTTCGGATCTCTGCGCCGAGATCCGCGATCTATCAGTCCGAGCCACGTTCATCCCGCGTATAAGGGCGCAAGTCGATTCAGATGGAGAGGTCGCGCTTCATTACCGCGAAAGTTCGCGAGACGTTAACAAGCGATTAACCGCGTCCACGAAAGAATGTAGTAGCACCCGCGCAATCCATCATTTAAATGAGGGAGCATCGTAAGCGCGGTGTCACTTGGCGGCTCGATATGACGGGTGAAAATGCACAGACGTCATTTCCCGTTTTATTCACCTCTATACCCAGGAAAGGAGGGGAAGAAGCGGAGGGATGGGATCTAGCAATAACCCGTCAGCGAAACTATGGCGGTCCATTGAATCGCCGCGCCAATCGTCGAAATTGCGATACTAGTTTGCGAGCCGAGTAAGAAGTATCTCAATCCCAAGCGAAAGCGGCGGAATAGCTGCTGAAAGCACGCAATGTGGGCTTTAGTCGGCAATGAACATCGTTATCGAAACGATAAACTCCGCGCGGAAATGTTAAATTATACAACTTGGACTCATGTCAATGGTAAGGGAAAATCACCTCCTCGATTACGTCGTTCGTTGACGGACGCGTCCGTTCGCGTAACCGGAGTCGTCGATAAGATTCACGGGAGATTCAGAGGGAGAGAACGAGAGAGAATTAAGACTTGTTCCCGGAGTTTATAATTGAGGACGAGCACGCGCGACAAATTGGGAGGCAAATAGCGAACTTAAGGCGCACCTCGTCTTATCTTCTCTCCGACGCCTCCGGCAGATCTCGGCGAAGCTACACACCCGGCCGAGCGAAACACGTCGCTCGTAACACGAGAACTCGCGTAAACGCGCGGTATCACCGGGGAACACATTTGCATTCCCGAGAAGTCGCTCCTAGGGTCAAAATGCATTTAAGTTCTTTTAGGTGGAGAACGTCGGGATTGGTGCGACGTACCGAAACAGACATCTGACTGTCTTCCCTTAACTGGAGTCACGAAGGTAGAGGCGAGAAACTTCCGACAGCGACGGTTCGACGAAGCGAATCAAATTCGAGAGTGCTACGAACGTTGCGCGCTACCTGTTTAATCAAATTCCGAGGGGGTTCCTCAGATAGCGAGAGAAAGGAAGAGAGGGAGGAATGTCACCAACCATGAGGGTGGATTACGGCGGTTGTGCGCCGCAGGCGAAAGTTTCAGCGCCGAAACCGCGCGAGAGAGAAAGTTTTCCCGGACGTCCGGTAATAAAAGCTCGGGCGTTCGGATGAAGAAGAAACTTCACCGGAAGTTCCCGGCTCCTTTCCACGTTTTCTCCGGGCACGACATGGCCGGGCGGTGACAAAATTGAATCCTCGTTAAAGCGTCGTCACGTTTCGTCGATCGACACTTTCATGTCGTCCGGCAGCCTTTCCTTCCCTCCTCTCTTCTCTCTTTCTTGCCAATTTAAATTACATTTCATTACAAACCTTTGTAACTGCGATGGTAGGGCATTTATTTGTTCCACGGAAAAACTTTGCGTTAGGTGCGAAACCCTGGGTTCGCACCTAAAAAGAAAAAAGAAAAAAAACCAATATACCGATGGCAACTATGTAGCTGACAATTACTATAGAAATTTTATATTTATGAAATTAATGTACAATAAAATATATAATAGTAGTTACAAGAATAATAGTTCAAGTATACAGTTAGCTAAGAGTAAATTATTTTATAAAGCTGTAAAACAGTTGCCATAGCTATAAAATAATTTATTCAACCATTATTATATATAAATTAATAAATAAACTTAATATGTATTACTTTCACTTTTAAGAACAAAATTATATATCATATTAATTATTATATTCACTTTGTACATTAAAATATTAAATAAAAATTTGTATGTGTACAAAGCGAATTTATTCTATCACGCACAGATTAATGGAGCGTATTCAGTTGTGAAAATACTGTTAAAAAGATCCACGATAAGCAAATTATAATAAATACGTGCTGGAAGATATTCTTTTTATTCTGCATCATCTCGCAAAAATTTGTTACTCTACAAAAGGCATTAATATCTTTTGTTCTATGCTCGTTTCTTGGCTTTGTAATATTTCACTTTGCCTTCATTAATTCTACATAATATTGTAGAAGAAGTTGATGATAAGCGATAATTTATTCCGAATATATTTACATGATTGTCTAGCGAACGAAATCTTTTAGCTAAGAGGTTCGTATCACGCGATTATAAATTAAAAATCGGCAAATTAAGCATCTTCAACAATTAAACATTTCTACTCGTATCGAAACTCATGGGAAATATTGAAAATCGTCTGTTTTAATTCAAACGTAAGTCTTTTCTCGTAATCGTCTATCACGCACTCTAAATCTTTTACTGACTCGAAAATTCTTTATTTGATTTTATACTCTTTCGCGGATGCAATCACGATAGACCGATATGATCGACCATCAACTAATCATCAACCTTCAATCTTCGATTGATTCTCTTTATTCTCACTTATACATAGAAGT